CAGTAAATATTAGGTGTTTGATGTGTTTTCTTTTCTACCAACTCTTGTTCCTTCGTTCTGCTGGTAGTCCAAAATAGAAAGCATCGAAAATAACATAAAAAAGTGAAAACTAAAGAAACAATCCCAACGAACAAAGCAGATCACAACAATCGACAGTTAAGTCACTTACGAGGTAATGTGCCATGATAATCTGGTCCGTTGACTTCCATATTTTCCCCATATGTAGAAGATAATTAGAGTAACACAACCTCCAAAGGATTCCATCTCATGTTCATATTTGGTCGAAATAGTAATGTTTCAGTAGATTTCTCTTGATGGAATTCAGTTTTTGAGAAAATCCATACTTTAAAAATTCGACGTGAAGCTTTGTACTGATCAGAATGTCAATTAGATTATGTCATGTATAAAGCTCAGTTAGTTTTGGTTATCGCATTGCCAAGATATTGATTTCTCAATATATATCTCTATCTTACACAGCACTGAAAGCAAAGGGTAGATATAATGAGAAATCCATATCTTGGCATTACGATAGAGAGACAGTGTGAGTGGGTGTGCGTGTGGGTGAGTTGTGGGTTTGGGTGTGAGGTATGGGTGATGAGTGTCATGAGTGTCGTGAGTGTGAGTGTTGGTGAGGGGTGTGTGTGTGGGTGTGCACTGTAAAAAATAGGTGTTTTACCGAACCTGTGCGTAGGATAAGAACCTTTTTGGTTCCGTACGACATTGGCGAACTTAAAAAAACTCGGTAATTTTCGCAAGGAACTAAAAAAGGCTCACTAATTTTATACAGAACCAAAAAGGTTCTTATCCTGGGTACAGGTTCGGTAAAACATATTTTTTTACAGTGTGGGTGCGGATGGGTGTGAGTCTGGAATGTGATTATGGGTGTTGATATGAATGAAGACAAGAATCAAGCCCATACCCACACCAACACTCCACACCCACATCCACACCCACATCCTGATATAGATAAGAAAGATAATAGATATTTATTTTTTTCGTTGTCTTTTTTTTCTAACAACCATAAAGACAAGGTCGATCGGCATGGCTGCTGAAGACATACGTGCACTCGACATTGCATGGATCATCGAACGAGCCGACGAAGTTCGTCGAACCGGGTCGTCTCTCATTGCAAACGTTCTTCCAGTTGACAAAATTGATGAACTCAATCGAGTTTTTCAACCGCTACTGGCGGAAACTGTGCGCATCGAGGGTGAAGCAGGAAACCGAGGACCAAATCGTTACTATGTTACTCCACCCTTTCGTCCGCCGTGGACCGATGTATCAATTATTGACAATGATATTATCATGGCGATTGTTTCCGAACTTGTGGGTGCCGATGGAGTATTTTGTCAATTAGCTACCGACACTCCATGTCAAGGATCCCAATATCAGGAATTGCACCGTGACACTCAGTCACTTTTTCCCGAATGGGAACAAGAAACGCCACCTTATCAACTGGCTGTTAATTTTCCTCTTGTCGATTGTAATCCAGAAAATGGACCGCTTGAAATGACACCCTCAACACACCTGTTAACCAAAGAAGAAGCTCTTCGTCGCATTGAATCTGGCGAAATACCTGTGCAGCAAGTTTTGATGAAGCGAGGCGATGTGCTCATTCGCGATGTTCGACACATACACCGAGGAACACCCAATCGAACCGATCAACCGCGGCCTATGGTCGTTCTTGGCTATAGTCGGAAATGGTTATTTCGACCAGAAGTTGAAATACGTGTTGCCCGAGAAATATTGGAACAATTACCGCTACGAACACGCAAGTGGTTACGATTCAATCCTGTGTTCAATACCCTTGAAGAAGCGGAAAAGAAAGAAGAACTCTACCAGTGTCCGACTCTGGTCGGGTCAGACCTCGGGTCGGGTCGGGTCGGGTCGGATTACGAAAAAAGGAGTTCATCTCGGGTCGGGTCGGGTCGGGTCAAAAAAAAAATTTTAATCTAGGATCGGGTCGGGGCAATTGTCTCAATATTGAGTAGACATCCAAAATCATTTTGAATGCTTTTTCATTTAAAAAATCTATCGAGGTGAATGAAAAAGCTTAATAGCACAATAAGGTATGTATCATATACTCTTCTGTTTTATTTTTGCTGTTTTCTCTTCATTGAAAATAATACAAACATGCACAGCAAATGCACTGCTTGTTAATAGTGATAGAGAGCTTTCAACTTGTATAGATAAGAGAAGGAAGAAAAATAAGAAAAATTATTTTACGTAATTTTGTTTTATTAACTACGCAGCAGTGTCCGACTCGGGTCGGGTCGGATCGGGTCGGATTACGAAAAAAGGAGTTCATCTCGGGTCGGGTCGGGTCGGGTCAGAAAAAAATTTTTTAACCTCGGGTCGGGTCGGGTCGGGTCACAAAAAAAGTGACCCGTGTCGGACACTGAACTCTACCGTTCCTTCGCTTACTAAACGTATCCTTTCGATGTCACATCGAAAAATTGAATATTTGTTTGAAGAAATAATAAAAGCATACATAACAGTGTGAAAAACCGCACAATGCCGAGGCAGATCTGTTCCTGTAACACAGAGAAAATTGTTATTGCTTGCCTTGGAGATTGAGATTGATTAAGCACAAAATGTTCACCTCCTCATCGAAAACCCAAGCAGACTTAGAGAAGAATACCATGGGTGCGACCAGTAATCAAAAATTTGAAAGAAATATTTTTTGTCCGCTCTGTTCCAATTTCGGGCCCCCTCGATAGCCATCAAATTTCAAGCGGTCGAAAACTATGTTCTATTGAAGGATCATTTTCTACTCCGCAAACACATTTGAACATCCCATCACTCATCGAAGTTTCGAGTACTCGAATGTGGGTGTGTCGATATGGAATGTAGGTATGGGGTGTGGGGGTGGATTTAGGTGTGCATGTGAATCTCTTCTCTACCGACACACCTACCCCCACAGTCACACATGCACACCCACACAGTGGACAGTCAGGCGACAAAATCCATTTCTGAGTTCGGAACCTTAATTTTAGCTGACATTAAAGCTGTTATAGATCTGCGTTTAACTGCATCTTTGATTCGGTTTGCAAGCGAGTAGCCGTCTTGCAATAGTTACCAAACAGTACATAAAGCAGATGCATATCACTGATAGAGTACTAGAAGTAAAGTTTATGTTTCAATTTGAAGATATAATTGTATTTATCACATATTATGCAGTTATTTAGCGTTGTATGATTACTATATACTACAAACCTTTCAGACTGCCTGAGGTTCTTTCTTCTCCAATAGGGCGAAAAACCTTCTCGTAATATGCTAAGAAATAATGACTAGTGAATAATGCCGTTCTTTCGCCGGTTTTTGTCCGAGCTTTTTTTAAAGTTTTACTTTACTATCTGATAGTACATGCCATCATCCATCTTGAATGAATGCCCAAAGATACTCTACTAAACCCTTATTGAGATACGACGTCGCAAATATAACCTGCCATGTAGATCGGGTCCGAGGGATTTGTGTAATAAATACTTATCTTTTAGATTGATTAGATTTCCAATAGTTTTCAATAGACAATACAAGCTCAAATACATGAATTTTTAAACTACTACAACGATTGTTTCGTTCTAAACATAACATATAGATGGTCTCTAATTTTCGGTTCTTCAGAGGAAAACCTTGGTAACTCGCGAGGGAACATCTACAGGTGCTAAATCCTTTCTGACTCTGGACTATGTTCATTCGACGAGTACTGACGGGCATTGAAAAAGTCTAGAATAAGGGTGTGGGTGTGGGTGGTACTCTTGTCATTCACTCACACCCACACCCCACACCCACACCTCACACCCACACCCCACTCACACACCCCACACCCACACCTCACACCCACACCCCACTCACACATCCCACACCCACATCCTTAAATGTTATACACACCGTGTAATATCTAGGAATTTTCTGCTTCTGCTTTTTCTCAATTGGACATGGGAATATGCAAATCTTTTCAATCCAATTCTTGAAAATTATGCAGTGCTAAAACTACCTGATGAGACCCTTGGGAAAGATTGAAACTAGTAGTAGTATTTCTTAAATATTATACACTACTACCATACTCCATAGTACGTAACACGTACGTCGAAAACAATTTATAAACATTAACCTTCAACCAAACACATAACGGCCTACAAAATACATGTGATAAACTTCTTTTTACAATCAAGTAAGACTTACCCCATCCCATCAACAAGTGAAAATTCGAACTTAGAAATCATCTCTCAAAACGTGAGGAACATCCACACGGACTTAACAAAAACTAAACATAAGCGGCGAAACAAATCATTCTAACCATAATCAAATCGAGTAATTTCGAAAAAATTGTACTCTTCCGATAATTCACAATGATTGAGACCCCTTGTTCATCCATCAACACTACAGATAGAACAATTCTAGAGTATTTTGTATGTGGTTCGAAAATTTCTTTTGAATCAATTGTACGGATACTTGCCACTTGATAAGATTCTAGTAAATTCGAAAAACTTTAATTTTGTGGTAACTCTACACACCCACACCCTTTCCACTACTCTATCGAAGGTTATGGTACGAAACCATTTGTACGAAACCTTTTGGAGATCATTTTGGAAAGGTTTCGTACTGAACATTTTATACGAAACCTTTTTGACTTTTTTCTTTAGAGGTTTGGTACTGAACCTTGTGTACGAAACCATTTTCCCCATTAATCAAGAAGAAGTTTCATACGAAACCTTCTTTTTGAGAAACCAAGAAAGGTTCGGAGCGTGTGCCCACTGGAAGATCCTTTTTTGGTTTCGTAGAACACCTTGTTTTTTACAGTGCACACTCACACCCTAATTATCTACATGAACGAATTTGATAGCATGATTACATTATTTCACAGACAATTGATGATTCTTTTGTCTGTTTCTGCGTATCAAGTACATCTGTTGAAGGTTCATCATTCGTCTCATTTTTTTGCTCTTTAAAGGCTTTTACCATAGCTGTCATTAATTCAGGAGAGGACACGTATAGTTCTATGAATCCATTATCATCTTATCATGGATTACTGTTATAGCGATAACTTTTAATAGCGCAGCATATACAATTAATGGAAGCCAAGCATTATTTCTCGTTTCTAAAAATACTTTGATAAATCGATCGAATGGAATTCCCGCCAAGTTGATCTCAGAATAATCCTTCATATACGAATATAGCTTTGATAATGTATTCGAATCTAACTCTTTAACAGCATTTGGTGAACGCATGATTTTATCGAACACAGCGAAAAAGACAGAGCCGCATCGTTTTAGTGCATTTATGAGGCAAGTGGTTACCTCGGGTGTTGCTGATTTCTCACTCATATTAGCGATAGCTTTGGCAACAGCATCAGATGGAAGATTACTCGAGCGACCGTCCAGGGCAGTCATAAGGGCAGTGATAACCTCAGTCGTTGCTGCTTTCTCACCCATGCTTCCAAGGGCTTTACAGGTGCATGCTCTAACATCTTGTTCTTTATCTTGGAGTGCGCTCATGAGGCCAATTATAGTTTCGTGTGTTGCTGCTTTCCCATTCATCTTCTCTAGAATTTTACAAGATAACACTCTCACTTTTGATTCTTCATCACAAAGCGCATCGATCAGAGCAGCGATCGTCTCATGTCTTGCTGCTTTTTCACCAATCTTCTCCAGCGCTTCGCATGCCAATATTCTCACCTCGGGCTTTATATCGCGCAGTGCCTGTGCAAGACCAACGATTAACTCGTTTGTAGCTACTTTTTCAACCATCTTTACCAAGGCATGACATGCTGATTCTCTTTCATCCCAACAGTCATTAAGAAGTTCCCTTATCAGACCATTAACGATCTCATCTGTTGCGCCCTTTTCACCTATATTTTCTAGAGCCTTACATGCTGCCCAAACAACAATTAAATAGTCATCTTTCAGTGCCTTGACTAAACCAGTGAGCACTTCATTTGTTTCTGCGTTTGCACCAAACTTGCTAATAGCAACACATGCATTAAATCTAGCTTCATAGCTTTCGTCATAAAGTGCTTTTACAAGAATATCAATCACTTCATCGGTTGCTACTTCATTAACTATTTTCTCAAAACATTTGTGAGCCTTTTCTCTGATTTTATAGTCTTGATTAGATAATGCATCCATAAGGCCAATGATCAATTCTTTTCTTAACACTTTTCACCAATATCTGTCAGTATAAAACATGCCTAGGTTCTGATTTTTACGTTTTCATCACATAACGCATCTGTAATAACGTTAATAACCTCCGTCTTCGCTATGGTTTTACCCATGTTTACAAGAGTTTCATGCGCCTCGCGTACAATATTAGAATCTTCATCGCCCAGTGTTTCCATAAGCTCGGCGATAAACTCAGCCATGACTACTTTTATATCCATATTGCTTAGAGTTTCGCTTGCATGTCTTTTTGTATTCAATTTGCGATCATTGTAGATATCTATGAGTCTAGAGATCATTTTATTTTGCGGAGTCTTTTCACCCATTTTTACAAGCGCTTCAAATGCCTTTTGTCTAACATCAGCCTTTTCGTCACCAAGCGCATTTACTAAACCAGAGATGACTGCTGGTGTTGCAGCTTTTTTACATATATTTCCGAGAGCCCAACACGCACTCTCTCTGACCCGCGGAAGTTCACTTTGAAGCGATAGTATAATAGCTTCGGTTACTTCTTGCGTGGCTGCCTTTTCACTCATCGCTCCGAGAGCTCCACATGCCCACCCTGGACTGTCCATCGATGAATGTTGCCGTATATTTATTAGACAAGCTAGCATTTTTGATGTAGCTGCTTTTTCTCCTAGGTTTTTAAGTATGATGCATGCATTATTATCCTGCAGTATCGTTTTTGTCGTACAGTGCACTCGCAAGAATCTCCATTAGTTCATCTGTCAATGCTGTTTCATCAATAGCACAAAGCTTCATGAAAATTCTATATGTTGAGCTCCAAAATATATCGTCGTACTTAAAAGTTGCGAACATTCGAGAAAATAGCCCAGGTAAAGGCTTTGACATGTTTAATTCTGTTATGAAGTTCCATATGCTCTCATCAATCAAGTGGTCTCCAGTATCTATTAATTCAAAGAGTTCATTCCGTATTAATGGATCGTCTTCATGAAGTATTTCTCTATATGTTTCAAATGATCGATAAAAACTGTCAAGCCAGTCTGCAGCATCTATTAATTCAATGAGTTTGTTCTGTATTAGTGAATCATTTGCTAACAAAATTGTACGTTTAAATGATGCGAGAAGATTTTTGATTGTGGTAGTTGACCTACTACGGAGACATATATCTATCCATAGACAGATTGATTTAATATAGGCTGTGCGTTGTACAAAAAGTTCGTGTTCACCAAGTTGATCAATACACTCGATGATAAGCTTTATGTGTTTGAAACCGACAAGATCTAAAGGTTTGGCCTCGATACTAGACCAAAATAGGTTCATGCATGATTGATAATCGGCTTGTGCAAGAAGACCTGACGCAAAAATAAATACTAAAATAAACCGTTGATTGTATTTGTGCTGATTGATGAAATCATTTACTTTTTGATTCTGTGAAGTCATTAGTATTCTAAGCAAATGCCACGCTGCAAAGTATTCTTGAAAGCTAAGATGAACAAAATAATGTTGCTTGTCTATTTCATTTTGATTTCCAGTAGGCTTATGATCATAGGACCTAAGGATGCCAATATTTAGTAGTTGTGGATGGTTAGCTAAAGAACAATCGGTCTCTCTTAGTATTTTTTGAATCAAAGTGGGTGAAAGAATAATATCATTGGTTTCCATCGCGTTGAAAGCGAAACATTCTAAGAATTGTAACTCTTTATGGTATCGTGTATAAACTTCTTTTTTCGACATTAATCGGTGACTGACGTTCTGTTTTCCTAAGTAATGTCGACATAGAATTTCCGTAATATTATCATAAAGTTCAGCCATTGTTAATGTTTTTGCTTCTGACCAGTCTGTATCACCCCAAAGCGTACAAATCAATTCCAAATTTACGGGAATATGCGCGATACCCCAAATACTAGGATTCGATTTCAAGAATATTAAAAGTTTTTCTCCTTCCGGCGAAGCAATTTTCATTTTGTCCTTAATATGATCAAAGAATTGCATAGCATATCGTTTAATATTATCATCAGTGAATCCGGTGATTTCCATTTTGACGTCATAGGCTAATGAAATAGCGTAAGGACGAGATGTTAAAATGGGATTTTGTGTCTGGTATATGTACTCAAATATATCTTTAAGTTGTTCGGGAATATTTTGAACAAATTCATCATATCCATCCAATATCCATAGCACTTGGCCTTAGTCGCATCGTTCTTTAAAGAATTGTCTGTCATCTTTAGTTAAATCCTCACATGCAAAATATTCTCTCTCAGCAATATCAATCATAGAATATTTTTTCGATGATGAATACAGACTGTTTGTTAACTTGCGTAATGGAACCAAAACCACTAACTTAAATTCGGGCCAAAGTTCACCTTTTGCCCATCGATAAGTCACATATTGACAAAACGTAGATTTTCCAATACCGGCTCTTCCAAGTACGAGAACTTTCTTAATTTGAACATTGCATTTAGCAAAAATATATTTGACATCAATGGCGGTCTTTGTTCCATAGATTTCTTCAAAAGTACCAACGACCTCATTATGATGTAAACGATGATTATCGTGTTGTCGTTCTTGGCTCGCTTTTTTGTCTTGGCTTTTCAGGTGTTTTTCCTTTTCCTGATATTCTTTTCTTTCTAATAAACACAGATTGATATAACTGTGCTCGATTGGGAATCTTTTTTCCTCATTCAATATTCGCTTTATACTGTTTCCTCTTAGATAATTTTGTCTGATTTGTTCACATAGTTTGTTGGATGTAGATATTGGTTCTATTTTAGGAGTTGGAGTTTGATTCTGTATCATGTCAATTAATTGGTTCGTTTTTTCTTGTATATTTTCTTCCGAAGGATCAGAGAAGTCTATGGTAATGATCGAACCGACTATTAATCCTAACCATTTTCCTGTGGATGCCTGCCAGACTTTTCGATTGTTTAATTACCATACATGCAATGATGCGTTTCCGTTGTTTTTGTGCAAGTTGTAACTCAAGTTTGCAATTTGGTGAATTCTCATATTTCTGTGTTAAAAAACAGCAGACAATGTCAGCATTGTCTACTGCTTCAGCCATTCTAAATATCACAATACATAGCTATAATCCTATACAAAAAAGGTTGTCAGCATGATGTCTATACCTATCGTACATATTATCGTGCATATCTCTTTCTTTCGTACCAAACAGGGATATCTACAGCTGTTAGAAGCTCGAAAACTCTTCTCCCAACCTTCCCACTTTTGTGATTATACGATAGCATCACATGTTTTCCTTGATTGAGTGCCATTGATGCAATTACAATAGTTTTCGAAGTTGTAATTAACTACTGCTTCTCAGAAAGTTACTAAAATTATACATAAAAGAACTACCAGCCATATGAATCTACATGTCTTGTACAATACTAAGTGTTTGAAAAGATTAATTCTATCAGATTGTTGATATTTACTTCAACACTATCGAATGCTCCGTAAGAAAAGACAATGATTTATCTAAAAATTTCTTCTGATTTCTTAATAAAACTAATCTGACGAATGCTTTTATATAGAGAACTATATTTCTGATCACTGGATCAAATTTAACAAATTAATGTGTTGAACATCTGATAGGAATATTGAAATAATGTTCCAAACGAAATCACTTCCAAAAATATGTAGCGATAGCGTCTCCTAAGCGATGCTCTGCATAAACTTCAAAACTGTATTATCGGATAAGAAAATATTGAGGGTGTGGGTGTGTAGTGTGCCTCACCCACACTTCACGATTCCTTCGTCTGTCTATAGAATCGAATTGATTGAATGGATAGTGTTGAAAATCTAAGTCTGCGGCTAATATCTGTGACACCTTCTTCAATAATTATCAGTGACACCAATATCCACACTAGCTGAGTAAAAATTTCACTAATTTACTAAGCTCCACTTCTATTTAATTCTTCAGGAAAAATTGAGTTACATGAAAATTTTCATCTGTCTATTAGCTATGATAGTCGACATAAAGTTCAAGATCGCTTTACTCTGTACGTCTTTAAGAAAATCATGAATAACTGCCATTAAATGAAAACCGTATCATTTTAGTCAAAAATACTCACAAGAGCGAGCTATGCACTGGCTGCGAACGATATTGTGGGCAAAATGAAAACATAAAAAATTATTTGACTGATGCTTTTTGCGCCATTACAACACTCAGTTGTTCACTTTTTGCTTTTTTCTCTCAACGAAAAAGAATCCCATCACTCTTGAAATTTTGTTTTTCTTTTTATATGAATAAGTGATCGAAAAAAAACAGTAAAAAGAAAGTTACAGAAGAACAATTTCAGTTACGTAGTATTTTTCAATGAAAATAAAATGAGATGCAAGATGAACAGTTGGTTTTAGGGAAGCTTTTTCGCTGTCACGAGCACTGCACAACCGAATACTGCTTCAGTTGGGTGTGGGTGTGGGAAGAAAGTACCTTCACGTCTACCCATACGCACACCCACACCCCCATCTTCCATGATGACTAATTTCTTGAATGAAAACAAGTATTAAGCAATGGTTATGATAGTGTCTTAACAAGAAATTTTTGATCACAAAAAAATTTTATTATTATCAAATTTTCCTCATCTTTTAACATGGGTTGTGTGATTAATAATATTTCATTCTTTTAATAGGTTCAGAAATAGAAATTGAAATTGAGCAAGAAAAAAAACGAAATGCTTTTGTCATTCAAGTTCATCCGTCATAAATGCATAGCAATATTTCACACAGCAAGTCAGAATAGCAAAGCAGACGCCGAAAAGCACCAAAGCGCGAAAATAATAATAAAGAGCTCAATGACAATCGAAGCGAGTATCATGATCGGCATCTGCCGTAGAGGTGGTTACATTCAAACGGACTTCCAGCAACCAGGCAATACCTATGAAGTAACAAATAGTACGTACAATAGCAAGCAAATTGATAAGGACGGCCATGAGAATATTAATAAATGATCTCTAATATTTCACTGGATCACTCGAACGACGGCCATACATGAGACTGTATAGAGC